TTTTCTTAATAATGAATATGTATGATATATATTGAGCGATTAAAACGTGAATTCGGCAACAACTTTCTTTGACATCTTTAAATGTAAATACAAGAATGTGTATATTAAGTCTACAAGGTTGTAACAGTTTCAACAAGACTTTAGGTATCATTTTAACGCACTCCATCCGCCGAATCATAAAAAAAGTTCAGTTTATAAACTGTCCTCAACGAAAAAATATGTTTACTTTATCGGGCTAACTTGACAAAGATCGAAAGCTGTAGGATTAAATGCCGCGAAAAAAAACATGCAGTTACTTTAATATGGTTGGTCGAGTTAATGATGCAGTTTATATGCCGAGTTGATGATGCATGGTAATTTATAGTTTTGTTGGCATCCCTCGGCCTTTAAAAACTTGGCCGCTGATTGAAAAAAAAGAGGGTGAACGAAAGATACAAATGAAATTAAGCAAGTTTTAAAGGTATTGCCAAATAAATTGCAGGAGATGTTATGTTCATGGTTGATCAATACCCTATGGAGAACAGAAAATCATACCGCAACAATGAAAGCATTGTCATAACCAAAGCATTGATACAAATAGTTCTATCTATTTCATTCAATGCCCAGAGCAGCTACCGGGAAACTTGTAGAAAGAAATATCCTGTTAGTAATCACTAAAATTAAAAAAAAATCTTTTTTACTAGTAAAATCTACAGAAATAACTCATTTTATACGTGTAATACATATCCAAAAACCAAAACAAAACAAAACAAAAAACAAAACTTCTGTACAAGAGCAGTGTAATGTCTGTCCTTTAATTGTAGAGGATCATTCGTTTCTGTTTACAATTATGAATGCATGCACTGTGTGACTAGGGAAAAAAAATATTTTAAAAAGCCCTTGGCTTAATTACGTACTCTTTAAATTTTGCGCATAACCGATGGATGCAGATTGTATGATGCTTAGATCGGGGCCTGGTTACTGTGTTAGCTCTTCCGCTTTTTGCTCGATTATTTCCACTTTATGAGGGGGACTGGTTTGTTCCTTGCGTTCCATAAATTGTATTCATTGTGTTCAAAGAACACAATAGCCAACAAGGATTGACAGCTCAATATAGGCACTGACAAAGTACAACTGGTGGCTGCTTATAAAATTGAGCCTCTCGTTGTTGCCATTTAAACGCATTAGTTAATCCTTGGACTAAGCATCGAGGTTAGCAGGACACTTAGTATTAAGTCCTAAGTTTTATGTCATTAGACGGTTCATATTTTAAAAATATGAATATCTTTTTCTTGTACTGCTCTCCAGTTTGGTGTCCGCACCTTAAAAAAGACTTAAACACCTTGGAGAAAGTACAACGTAGAGCATCTAAATGCGCCCTTGGAAATATTGGGCAAGACATGCCTTACGAAGAACGCCTAAAGCTCCTTAAATGGCCATCACTTGAACAAAGAAGATTATTTTCGTCGCTTATCGAGTGTTATAAGACAATAAATAGACTTAATGGACTTGATCCCTCGGCATTTTTCACATTTGCACATGATTTTCGGCCCTTAAGAGCCAACCATCGTTTTAAACTTAAGCTTACATCAGCAACTTTAAATAGTTTTAACCATTCTTTTTTTATACGCATAATAGATAAGTGGAACAATCTTCCAAAGGAAGTTGCTGAGGCGGAGAATTTGAATATTTTCAAGAACAGACTGAGACGTTATCTTACAGATTTTCCTAGTGAACACTAAGTTCTTTTACTGTGTGATGTTTTATATATATATATATAGTTACTATTTTAAACAGTTGTAAATAATTTATTTCTTAATGTATTTTATTATCAGGAGATAAACTAGAAAGGGATAACCTCTTTTATCTCCTTTTCACTTTCCGATTTGGATTTGTGAATAAACAGTTATTATTATTATTATTATTATTATTATTATTATTATTGTTATTGTTGCAGTTCTCTGACTCGGCTCAATTGAAAGACCCTCAGTCTTGAAGGTATGTAAATGTACTAGGTTTCCTGTTTTATTTGTTTCAAGGGCACTTTTCTTAATAAAGAATATGTATGATATATATTGAACGATTAAATCGTGAATTTGGCAACAACTTTTTTTGACAGGTTTAAATGTAAATGCAAGAATGTGTTTATTAAGTCTACAAGGTTGTAACATTTTCAACAAGATTTTAGGTATCATTTTAACGCATTGGTTACTGTTTTAGGTCTTCCGCGTTTTGCCCGATTACTTCCACTTCATGAGGGGGCCTGCTTTGTTCCTTCCGTTCCATAAATCTTATTCATTGTCGTCAAAAAACACAATAATCAACAAGGAATAAAAGCAAAATTCCAAAGCTATTTTAGGATTGACAGCTCAATATAGGCACGGACAAAGTACAACTGGTCGCTGCCTATGAAATTGAGCCTCTTGTTGCTGCCTTTTAAACGCATTAGGATACTTAGTATTAACTCCTAAGTTTTATGTCATTAGACGGTTCATATATTGAACATATGAATATCCTTTTCTTGTTGTAGTTCCCTGACTCGGCTCAACTATACGACTCTCAGTTTTGAAGGTACGTACTAAGTTTCCTTTTTCATTCCTTTCAAGGGCACTTTTCTTAATAATGAATATATATGACACATATTGAGCGATTAAATAGTGAATTCGGAAACAACTTTTTTTGACGTGTCTAATGTAAAAGGTACAAAGGATTGCCCCTAAACCACTAAACATGTCCTGAATTAATGATAACTTGTTCGTGTGCAAAACTCAAGTTCTTAGTTCTTCTTAAACGCGGGTTTCTTCTCTTTCTCTTGTCGATATCGGGGCAAAGAACCGCTACTTTATTCAATTATCGAGGAGTACCCGAGGAGACGTCGGCTCTGCCAGCCGGTACCTAATAACAGTTGGTAAACAAACCTTGACATTCAGACCTATAGCCGTGACAACCGTGCGTCTACCTCACCGGACTGAGTTACTAACAAAACAACCAACAAAAAAGACAAGTATAAAAACGCTTTGTTACTGATTTGCACAGTAAAAGGTTTTTTCCCTTTCACGCTTGGCATGCATGGCTGGGTATGGAGCAAGCGAGAAAACTTAGTTGAAAATCAGTAGGGGCCATCGCTGAGGTAAACACCGTTCCACTGATCACCGCGATACAATTTGCTTATATCTGAAAATATTTCTAAATTTCTTAATAACCGTAAGCCGTCAAAATTCGTGGAAAAAATCAACCGTCAACCGACAAAGCCACCACTTCATTGAGACCCTCCTGTATCATAAGAGGTTGTAAAGGTCGTAGTGTAATGCCTCTCAGATCTGCAATTTGGCTTTTTTTAATTGTTTTTAAAGACCTCTAATTAAGCTTTACTAAATGAAAAAGTAGCCGTCTATATTTGTTTCATGTTTGCCGTTTTTATTTTTATTTTTCCTGTTTGCCATAGTCGGTACGACTTGCTTAACAGTCACCTAAGCACAAACATGGAAAGTATTTTTTAAATCTTTTTCGAGAGCAAAAATAAATATGAAGATCTTGTATCTTATAATCTAAAAAAACATGCAAACATGCAGCAAAAGAAATCTGTCTTTTTTGTTCCAAAGCCTTACCTTTTTTTTTTTTTTTTTTTTTTTTTTTGCTTCCCACAGTCACTTTTTGCTATATATAGCTAGAAACAGCAACAAGTGATGTCCGCAATTGTAACAACTGTCTTAAAGGGTACCCTCGGATTTCTCATAAAGAAAGGCCGAAAAGCAGCTGTGGAGAGGCTGAAGGATGGCGACGTTACAAACGAAAAATTGAAGAACTGGATCGTGGATGAAATCGACAGTGTAAATTCGAAGCTTGATGCAATGGCGAAGAAAGATCTCGGAGCAAGTATTTCCTTTTTCAGGGAAGGACTAGTTTTCCTTAATAATGCAATGGAAACGAAAACTTGCGGCATAGGAAGTTTAAACGCAAGTCCTGTAGAAGTGAGAAAAGTTAAAAATGTGAAAGAAGAAAACTTCGAAGAGAGCAATGAAAAAGCAAATCCTGAAGCACTAAAAGAGGCGGCGTCCTGGCCCAAGTTGTTTTGGTCGATTGCTTCTCAAACAACAGGCTTCTGGGACCACGGTAGAGAGGATGAGAAAGGGTTGAAAGCTGCTTCTCAAATGACAGAGGAACCGGAAAGGTCCTCTGGTGCAGAGGAAAACGAATTGTCTTTCACAGGGGAACTGAGGAAGGTGAATCTAAACAGTCTTAATGAAATCGAAGAAGCAATCCTTGACGCAAAGAAGAGGTTTGACGATGCTCGACGAAAAGCGACAGAAGCCTTTAACAATGAAGTTCTCACCCCCTTGGATCGTATCCTAGCCATGGGTGTTCGTCTAATGGCAACAATATTGGAGAAAGTAGATAACCCGGTAAGTACCTTAGACGCGTGTATATCTGGCCTCAACGAACTACACTCGATGCCGTTTGTTACAGAGAATTTTAGCGTTGAACTTGAAAAAGGCATCAAGTCAAGATTCAGCAAGGATGAACGAAGGCAAATTATTTCCTTCGTCTGTCAAGTAAATCGCACCATTTACGACTTCGCGTTACTGGTAAGCACTAAAGAAGTGTTGTCCTTTTGGCCCTGCGTTGAAATCGCAAATGAGAGGGTCGATCCTCTTCGCGACTCAAGAATGGCAAACATACTGCGTAAGCTAGAGATGGGTGACTTTTGTTTAGCTTGGTCATTTGGTCAGGAGGACGAACTAGAAGATCAAAGGTTTGCTAGTATAGCAACCAATACTCTTGGACAGTTCCTTGTTGTCGACAAGGGGGGAAAATGTGTGAAAATGTTCGACGCTTCTGGCAAATTTTTAAAATCTTTTAATCCTTCCACCAAATATGGTCAACTTGTAGCTGTAGCTACTGACCAAGATGACAACATTTACGTGCTGGGGAATGAAAGGTCTGGAAAAAGTGCTAAGGCTTTCCTGCAAGTGTTAAATAATTTAGGTCAGTTGCTAGATGATTTTGAAGTTGGCTTCGAGTTACAAGCTGTGACGGTAAAAGTAATGGCCAGTCGCCTCGTTCTTGTACCGGTACATTTTGAAGTAGGCTACGAGCAATCCGCGCCTAGGTGGGCTTATGATGATTATTATGTGGTTTTGAATAATACCAAAGGGAAGCGTATTGGCTTCCTTTCCGAGAAAACTTTAAAAGATATCCGAGATATCGCAACTGCTGATGACCTTATTATGATCTTGGATATTGTATTTTATTATCAGGAGATAAACTAGAAAGGGATAACCTCTTTTATCTCCTTTTCACTTTCCGATTTGGATTTGTGAATAAACAGTTATTATTATTATTATTATTATTATTATTATTATTATTATTATTGTTGCAGTTCTCTGACTCGGCTCAATTGAAAGACCCTCAGTCTTGAAGGTATGTAAATGTACTAGGTTTCCTGTTTTATTTGTTTCAAGGGCACTTTTCTTAATAAAGAATATGTATGATATATATTGAACGATTAAATCGTGAATTTGGCAACAACTTTTTTTGACAGGTTTAAATGTAAATGCAAGAATGTGTTTATTAAGTCTACAAGGTTGTAACATTTTCAACAAGATTTTAGGTATCATTTTAACGCATTGGTTACTGTTTTAGGTCTTCCGCGTTTTGCCCGATTACTTCCACTTCATGAGGGGGCCTGCTTTGTTCCTTCCGTTCCATAAATCTTATTCATTGTCGTCAAAAAACACAATAATCAACAAGGAATAAAAGCAAAATTCCAAAGCTATTTTAGGATTGACAGCTCAATATAGGCACGGACAAAGTACAACTGGTCGCTGCCTATGAAATTGAGCCTCTTGTTGCTGCCTTTTAAACGCATTAGGATACTTAGTATTAACTCCTAAGTTTTATGTCATTAGACGGTTCATATATTGAACATATGAATATCCTTTTCTTGTTGTAGTTCCCTGACTCGGCTCAACTATACGACTCTCAGTTTTGAAGGTACGTACTAAGTTTCCTTTTTCATTCCTTTCAAGGGCACTTTTCTTAATAATGAATATATATGACACATATTGAGCGATTAAATAGTGAATTCGGAAACAACTTTTTTTGACGTGTGTAATGTACAAAGGTACAAAGGATTGCCCCTAAACCACTAAACATGTCCTGAATTAATGATAACTTGTTCGTGTGCAAAACTCAAGTTCTTAGTTCTTCTTAAACGCGGGTTTCTTCTCTTTCTCTTGTCGATATCGGGGCAAAGAACCGCTACTTTATTCAATTATCGAGGAGTACCCGAGGAGACGTCGGCTCTGCCAGCCGGTACCTAATAACAGTTGGTAAACAAACCTTGACATTCAGACCTATAGCCGTGACAACCGTGCGTCTACCTCACCGGACTGAGTTACTAACAAAACAACCAACAAAAAAGACAAGTATAAAAACGCTTTGTTACTGATTTGCACAGTAAAAGGTTTTTTCCCTTTCACGCTTGGCATGCATGGCTGGGTATGGAGCAAGCGAGAAAACTTAGTTGAAAATCAGTAGGGGCCATCGCTGAGGTAAACACCGTTCCACTGATCACCGCGATACAATTTGCTTATATCTGAAAATATTTCTAAATTTCTTAATAACCGTAAGCCGTCAAAATTCGTGGAAAAAATCAACCGTCAACCGACAAAGCCACCACTTCATTGAGACCCTCCTGTATCATAAGAGGTTGTAAAGGTCGTAGTGTAATGCCTCTCAGATCTGCAATTTGGCTTTTTTTAATTGTTTTTAAAGACCTCTAATTAAGCTTTACTAAATGAAAAAGTAGCCGTCTATATTTGTTTCATGTTTGCCGTTTTTATTTTTATTTTTCCTGTTTGCCATAGTCGGTACGACTTGCTTAACAGTCACCTAAGCACAAACATGGAAAGTATTTTTTAAATCTTTTTCGAGAGCAAAAATAAATATGAAGATCTTGTATCTTATAATCTAAAAAAACATGCAAACATGCAGCAAAAGAAATCTGTCTTTTTTGTTCCAAAGCCTTACCTTTTTTTTTTTTTTTTTTTTTTTTTTTGCTTCCCACAGTCACTTTTTGCTATATATAGCTAGAAACAGCAACAAGTGATGTCCGCAATTGTAACAACTGTCTTAAAGGGTACCCTCGGATTTCTCATAAAGAAAGGCCGAAAAGCAGCTGTGGAGAGGCTGAAGGATGGCGACGTTACAAACGAAAAATTGAAGAACTGGATCGTGGATGAAATCGACAGTGTAAATTCGAAGCTTGATGCAATGGCGAAGAAAGATCTCGGAGCAAGTATTTCCTTTTTCAGGGAAGGACTAGTTTTCCTTAATAATGCAATGGAAACGAAAACTTGCGGCATAGGAAGTTTAAACGCAAGTCCTGTAGAAGTGAGAAAAGTTAAAAATGTGAAAGAAGAAAACTTCGAAGAGAGCAATGAAAAAGCAAATCCTGAAGCACTAAAAGAGGCGGCGTCCTGGCCCAAGTTGTTTTGGTCGATTGCTTCTCAAACAACAGGCTTCTGGGACCACGGTAGAGAGGATGAGAAAGGGTTGAAAGCTGCTTCTCAAATGACAGAGGAACCGGAAAGGTCCTCTGGTGCAGAGGAAAACGAATTGTCTTTCACAGGGGAACTGAGGAAGGTGAATCTAAACAGTCTTAATGAAATCGAAGAAGCAATCCTTGACGCAAAGAAGAGGTTTGACGATGCTCGACGAAAAGCGACAGAAGCCTTTAACAATGAAGTTCTCACCCCCTTGGATCGTATCCTAGCCATGGGTGTTCGTCTAATGGCAACAATATTGGAGAAAGTAGATAACCCGGTAAGTACCTTAGACGCGTGTATATCTGGCCTCAACGAACTACACTCGATGCCGTTTGTTACAGAGAATTTTAGCGTTGAACTTGAAAAAGGCATCAAGTCAAGATTCAGCAAGGATGAACGAAGGCAAATTATTTCCTTCGTCTGTCAAGTAAATCGCACCATTTACGACTTCGCGTTACTGGTAAGCACTAAAGAAGTGTTGTCCTTTTGGCCCTGCGTTGAAATCGCAAATGAGAGGGTCGATCCTCTTCGCGACTCAAGAATGGCAAACATGCTGCGTAAGCTGGAGATGGGTGACTTTTGTTTAGCTTGGTCATTTGGTCAGGAGGACGAACTAGAACATCGGCTTGCCTTAGCGACTAGTATAGCAACCAATACTCTTGGACAGTTCCTTGTTGTCGACAAGGGGGGGAAATGTGTGAAAAGGTTCGACGCTTCTGGCAAATTTTTAAAATCTTTTAATCCTTCCACCAAATATGGTCAACTTGTAGCTGTAGCTACTGACCAAGATGACAACATTTACGTGCTGGAGAATAAAAGGTCTGGAAAAAGTGCTAAGGCTTTCCTGCAAGTGTTAAATAATTTAGGTCAGTTGCTAGATGATTTTGAAGTTGGCTTCGAGTTACAAGCTGTGACGGTAAAAGTAATGGCCAGTCGCCTCGTTCTTGTACCGGTACATTTTGAAGTAGGCTACGAGCAATCCGCGCCTGCGTGGGCTTATGATGATTATTATGTGGTTTTGAATAATACCAAAGGGAAGCGTATTGGCTTCCTTTCCGAGAAAACTTTAAAAGATATCCGAGATATCGCAACTGCTGATGACCTTATTATGATCTTGGATAGAAAATCCACTGTCTTTGTATTTACAGATGCATGTGTTAGTGACGAAGATCGTCCTGTTTCACAACTCCATAAGAAGTTTCCAGTCCGTGGAAAGGCCAGTGCTATTACGTTTCATCCAAAAAGCAAACGCCTGATCGTTGTCTCAAAAATCGAAGACCATCGTTGGCAACTGCTGTTTTACAGTAAAGAATTCAAATTTGAACGTAGCATTGACCTTGACGTGGAGCAAAACTACTGCATAACTGGGGCTACAGTGACCACGGATGGACGCATTTGTATAGCAGCGTCACATCATGATCAGTGGCAATGGAAAGGGAAGGTGCTTGTAGTGTAAATGTAGCCCTGTTAATACTAACAAATTGCAATGTGATCGAATCCTTTCTTCATGTCTGAAGATGCAGTAGACAGTAATCTACCGATGGCCTTCCCAATACCCCGGGAGCAGAGGTTTTTCTCTTGCATCGCTTTTGGCATTTACAAGGTCGTTCGCGTGGCATGGCTTGTCTGTCGCGTAGTTGGTTTGTTTACCCCGTTGCAAACTAGGCGACAGACAAACCACGCAAACGACTTCGTAAAGGCTGTTGCAAGAGAGAATCTCTACTCGCAGGCTACCTTCCCAAGACTGCAAAATTGACAAAAATGTCGCAGTACTGAGGCCTTCGTCGAATTGAAAAGAATAAATAAATAAATAAATAAATTTCCCCTTTGCTATGTACTAGCAAAACGCACCAAAGAGACACTGAGGATTTACAAATTTACGAAAAATTGCAAAGTCAGTTTCGTCAAAGCCTTATATAACTAGGTCATTGCAGTTTCAAATAGACCTTGTCACGGTTTTGGAAGCCATCTTGACGAGAAGGTAACCGCGTGAGAAATTAAATTGTTTCTATGGGAATCTAATGTCGAATACTTTGTCCTGAAAAAAGATAAAAATAACAGTAAAAATAATAATATTAAAAAAAATATATATATTTTAAACTAAAGCTTCACTCCTAAGGATTCTATTAATGAAGTTTGAGGGCGTTACATGCAGCTGTATGCGCTAGAACCACGTTTTAAAAGGTTTTGCACATTTGTCTGTAAAAATTGTTCTTCCTGCCGAAAAAAAAATTTCCCGGGAAAAAATGGCAGACAACTACATAAATAAAAAATGTAAAGAAAGCGACTGAAGAAATTTAAGCATAGGTGCGGCGCCAAAAAATTGTAAGTAGAATCCTTTGCTTTGTACCTTTAGTTTACATTTCATCTTTTTTATTCAGAACAGCCGTTTTACGGAAATTGTGCACTACATCACTCGCACGTGAGACACAACGGAAGGTACCCGGTAATATAATCTTACACTGTAATTATAAAGACGTTTACGTAAAACAGGAAACCTCAAACGTCAATTCTACCCACCTGGATTTCATTACTTGCAAATTTTTTTAAACGTGTTTCTTTTTTCTAAATCTCACTAGAGAACTTTAGGTTCTTGGACGAGAAAGACTACAATAACGAGATTTGCGGGAAAGCTTTATTGTGCTTCACTTTCACCTAAGAAATTAGCACTTTTCTCATTATTGAAGGAGGATAAGCTATCTCCCAGCCGCAAAATCATAAAATCTACAACACTTTATAATTTGTTTCTGCTACAACGACATTTTCGCTAAAACTCGTACTAGACGACGTCAACAACGTTTTCCTGCCAAAATGAGGCTGGTTCACGGGCGCGCACTACTTAGTATTTAGAAAATCTCCCACACGTAGTCGTACTCGTCTTAGAATCTAAAGGTCTCTACTTATATAAAGACAACGACGAAACGGGAGTATCATGTTAAGCCAAAAAAAAAAAAAAAAAAACGGCAAAAATTTAAGTTAAGATAGAAGAGTTAATAAAAAAAAAAAAGAACGAAAAACGTGTTCAAAATGAGGAATAGTCTAAATTAAAGGACTAGCGCATTAAATCGATTAAACGAAACGCGACGGCGCTTGTCAATTTACTAGTCACAGATGATTTTATACGTATAAGCCCTGTTTACAAGGAGGGAGGGTAACCCTGGTGCTAGTGTTACCCTAAGAAGAGGGTTATCCTAGCACTCGTATATTTCCTTTTTTTTTTTCACCTGACCTGGTTACCAGATAGGTAGGGTTACCCTAGCGCTGGGGTAACCCTAACTGAGTGCTAGGGTAACCCTAGCAAGAGGGTTACTCTACCTGCCTTCTAAACGCTCTGCTAGGTATAACTCGCCTCATGCCTGGGAAAAATTTTCCTCCGCCATGCGTGACCATTAATCTTCACAATTTGAACGGAGTTATCCAATTTCTGAGCCAGATTATAACCATGTGAACAATATACGGTATTTTTTGTATATCATATGATGATAGTATTTTCATGTTTTTTCGTGATTTAACGCCTTTTCCTTACAGAACTTTAAGTTTTTTCAAACCTTGACGTCACAAAGAATGTTTATTTCACTCTCATGTTACCTTGGGTGTCGGAGGCTTTTCATGCGCGGTTTCCGGTTTCGGTAAAAAAAGTGACCCGCTTCGCCGCTCGTGTCTTCCGCCGAAGGCCGAGGATGTGTTGGCTTGCGGACGATGAAGCTTCTCTTCGCACGCGGGAAAAAACCCCTGGTACCCAGGGTAGTCTTCACGCGTGAAGAAACAAGTCAGTTAAACTGGTAAAAAAATATATGAATATATGAAAATCATATATGAGAACTGCGAAGTGAAGAATTATGTGAAATAATACTGATCATCGCAAGTTGTAGACGCAACTTTTGCAGTTGTGAAAAAAAAAGCCTGGAAAAAATTGGCTTGTACGGGAATTGAACCCTTGACTGCTCTGCGATACCAGTGCAGCGCTATTACCTGAATTGAGCTAACAAGCCAACTGGGAGCAGATCCTTGAATTGGTTCGTTATAAGCCCGTGAAGGGATGATGATAGAGTTATGAATATATGAAAATCATCTAATTTTTTCAGGTTTTCTTTTCTCAGTGGCAGCCACTCCCCCATAAGGTTTTCTGAGTTTTTTTTCCTAGAGGATAAAACGTCAGTACCTGATGTTTTCAGTAGCTGTTCGTTCATCCCTCGTGCACATTTTGAGACAAGTTTAGTGATGGTCAGTTGCTATGGTTACGTGTTATGTCGTCATAAGTAGCAGGTGGTCAAGCCAATTTTGGGTGAAAATACATGTTTTTTTCAATTTTTTTCAACAATAAAAGTAAATCTTGTGGCCAAAATCGTACAAAGTGCTTATTTATGTGTTTTTTTTTTTCATGTAAAACACAAAAATTACCATCTCTCGCAATTTTAACCTGATTTCTGATTCTTGGTAAAATACAAGATGGTAACTATTATTGGTGACGTCACAGGCCTCCAGCAGCGCCACCACCCCTAAAATATACCTCATCTTGTTAACAAGATCAAAGTCTTTCCACCTAAGGTAAAATCGTTTCAAAATATTGCAACATATCAAACAAAACTCAGGGGGGAGGTTCCATCCACCCCCCCCCTCCCCCACCTTGTACCAAGGTGGGACTATGAATTTGCGTGTACGTCCGAGGGTTAAATGGCGCTAAATTCTACCGACAACTAGACGGGGACATTACTGACCTTACTCAACAGCATGTTACGGTTTACATTGAACGTATGTTTAACGACGGTTACATCGACGAAAAGACTAAAAAGTACCTATAGCACAGACAAACATTAAACAGGGACGTTTTTACATTCGACCTAAAATACATAAAACGGGAAATCCTGGACGTCCCATAGTTTCATCTAACAGCCACCCTACTGAACATATCCCACAATTTTTTGACTACCACATTAACCCTCTAATCTCAACCTTGGGTTCACACTTTAAAGACACTACCGACTTCATCAATAAACTTTCTGACCTTGGTAACCTACCTAACGACGTTTTTCTTGTAACTCTTGATGTGTCATCCCTTTATACCAACATTCCACATAATCAAGGAATTGATGCATGCCGTAATCTTCTTGATACCCGCTCTAACAAACACATCCCCACAGAGACACTATGTGATCTACTACGCATGATCCTTACTTTGAATAAGCTCACGTTTAACCAACAGCATTATCTTCAAATCTATGATACTGCTATGGGTACTAAAATGGCTCCTTCTTTTGCTAACCTTTTTCTTGGTATGTTCGAACTTAACGCTCTCACTAACGCCCCTTGGCAGCCTCACACCTGGTGGAAATAAATCGATGGTACTTTCATGATCTGGACAGAAGATCGTCGATTATCTCAATAACATTCATCCCATTTTTAAGTTCACTACAGGGGCGGATCCAGGATTTTTTTAGGAGGGGGTGCACTCGTCTCCTGCTCTACTTCAACACCAATAAACCACATAGTTTTTTTTGGCAGAATACCAGTTGTATTAGAAAACCGCAGGTCAGCTCTCACTCACTTACTAATGTACATTTATTGGACGTCATCAGGTATCTCTACATAACGGTGTAATTGAAACTGATCTAACTGTATTTACTAAAGCACAGATAAACATATGCATCAACACCTTCTCAGCTCATCATGCCATCCTCATCACATTAAGATAGCCATTCCGTTCAGATTATTTAGCCCTTCGCGACCGCCGTATCTATTCGACAAACGTTAAGTTTAAACTTCGCATTAATGCCTAAAAACATATCTCCTTGCTCGTGGATACAATGATACTTTTCTAGAAGAACAGTTTCTACGCGCTGCCAATATTCCTCGTGCTAACGCGTTACAGACTAAACCTAAAGATTCTAACAAAGGAGGATTATGCAGTCTTTCCATGATACCATGTGGCAATTTTTCGTGGTTTTTCCCTTGTAACCTGTCCATATTCGATGCATCGTGAGCGTCGGAGATGAGTTTTCGAATTTTCAAAAGAGCTTCTTTGACGGCTTGAAGTGAGTTTGTTTTGTTTCATTAATTTAGTTTTGATTGGTACTGAATTGATATACTGAGCGATTTTTTCAAGCTATTAATGTACAATTGAGAAGCAGTCTCCCTAAAAGCGAAAAACATTTACCTTATATTTTTACTATCAACACTAATATCCATCCGCTAATAACGAAATTGCAGTTAGAATAAGGAAATTGTCTATTTTACTGCCATTCCCAGCATTTCACTGCTGAACGACCGTTAGCGGCTAAAATATGCTAATTTTAGTCTCTGTTATACAGGTTTTTTAACGATCGTTTAAAAGTGCCTCGGGTCATCAAATCCTAGACTATTTTGCACTCATTTGGAAGCATATTACCCCTTCTTACTGTTTCA